ATGAAAAAAGGAACTGTTCAATTAGACGACCTCGTGCAATGCAACAAGAATCACCCCATAAACTACTATGTGCATTAAAGCTTCCAAGAACAAGATAAGGCTCAGGTAGTTCGTCTATCAAGGACTGAAATTCATGTTTTTCCAGGCGGTACAGTGGAGGTATGTAAAGAGAGCAGATGGAGATGAGTTTATTCAAAAAAACTGCTCGAACAGCCACTGCCTCAAGGGATGTTTGTAGTAGTAAATGTGTACATGCAACATCCTGATGAACTATAATGGCCACCCCACCAAATGATGCTACAGCGTCATTGCGATCCTTTCTGAATATTATATAACGACGTAGAAAATTGGTGTTCTTAGAATTTAAGTGTGTCTCTTGTACACACAGCACTTTTGGTGAAATTGTGTAAAAGTTCCTGGATATCGTCAAGGTTTCTAAGCAGTCCTCTGACGTTCCATTGTATAATTTGTGTATCCATTGTGAGTGTAAATGAGTGCTGTGTGTACTAAAAGAAGTACTGCGTTACGTCAGGAGCCCTTGTCAGGTGCCGTGATGATGGTTTTTACTTTCTGGCATGCTCCAAAGAGCCCCGCCTGTCCTTTGGCGCCGAAGACACCGTTGAACTTGCTGTTGTGTCGATCACCTCGGACGGGGTGCTGGATGTCCGCTCACGGTTAATGTGTGCGGGCACGGAAGTCTTAGGGCTATCAGTCAAAACAGAAGGCCTGGCTGAGGCTTCAGGTCCGGAGGCCTGCAAGCCTTTTGGTGGCGGAAGAGCCTGTGCTACTTCCGCTGAAATGGTGAATGGCGCTGCCGCCCGTCCACTCTGTGTGGTACTTGCGGGCGCCGCACATTTTGGTGGCACTGCCCCATTTCGTGCCACCTCCGCGAACGAAGGACCCTGCAAAGGTAGACGCTTGCGCGCCTCCCTAAACGAGATGTTTTCGTTAACATTGAGCAAATTTTTTTTTCATGTTTCTATGCAAGACGTGTGAGAGTAAGCGAGGTGTCCGCCGTCACAGCTTGCACAGTGGGGAGTTTCTTCTTCACAGTAGTCTGTAGCATGTTCACGCGAACTACACTTTGCACAGGTTTGAGAGACGTGGCAGCTCTGAGAGCCATGGCCGAAACGCTGGCACTTAATACAACGTCGGGGGTTGGGGATGTAGGGTCGGACCTCGAACTTCAAGTAGTCCGTTTTGATATACTCTGGAAGTGTGCTTGTGCAAAATGTAAGAATGAGGTGCTTTGTCGGGGTTTTTTTTATGTCCCGCCTGATTTTAGTTCTCTGTACATGTGTTACGTGCGGTTCGTTCCAGCCCTCAAAGAGCTCACTGTCAGGTTAATTAGGTCTTGATCAGATACTACGCCTCAGAAACTGTTCAGGGAACAATGTGGTGTGATAGATACAGGTGTGGTTCCAAAAGAGGTGAGTTAAGTCAGGTTTTCATACTGGGTCTTGCTTTGAACTTCAAGAAGAAGGTCGCCACTAGCCATATGTGTGTAGCCTGATAACCTGGATCAAGGGCATTGGTGAGGCATTTCGAAACGACAAACGGAGAGATTGTTCTTGCGTCCTTTTCTTGCATTTCACAGTGAATTACATGGAAGCGCGAGAAAATTTCTTTTGGCTTTATTAATACATTCAGTGTTGCTTCGATGGGTCCCCTCTTAGGGAGAGGGCAATCAGACAGTTTGGGGAATAGAAAAGAGGCCATTAAGTATATATAAATTCAGCAGCCTTGTCAGCCGCTCACCATGGAGCCCAACATGGGGACGCAGCAGCACAATTATAAAAAGGCATGCTAGCGCCAGCTGTACAAAGCCACCATAACCCAATATTATGTGACCAAGAGAGAGCACATACACGAGGTATGTGCTCCTGGAAGAAGGAAGTAAACAGAAGTGAGGCGATGACAGGAAAGATTTAAAGAGAAAAAAAGATGAAGATCAAGGGAGAGAGAGACAGGAAAAGGTAATTTCCCCTGCCGATTTCCTTTCAGTGGGTCAGCCTAGGGGCTCGAGTCCGTGATGTTGCCACACACCACCGCAGACGCCCCAGCGGGGCATCTTTTTGAAGGCACACAAAATGTTGCTCTCGAAACTTCACAGTGTCATTACCACACTTAGCCACGGTACTTTCCCTGGTCAATATCAAACATCAGTTACAATAAAGAAACGGAATGGCTGCATGGAGCTTAGTCAACAAGTTGTCATCTCAATGGGATGCTGAACGAAAATTGAAAAAGCTGATGAAAACATCAAAGTTCTGCAAAGATGTTGCTGTTTCAATAAAGAGAGTTTGTTTCACATATTTCTGAACAGCTGGCTCAATTTTTTTTAGGATTGTAAACGCACATCGGTTTCGTCAAAGCGCAAGCCGTGATGTCAAAGCCACCGCAGAAAATGCAGGATGCACGTTTTGTTCTACTTTTCTTTCCCCCACCACTTCTTTATGTCTCACTCTTCCTCTTCCAAAAAGGTGCTCAGATGTGCTCCGCCATTTAGAAGCCCAATCCTACCCCAGAACATTGTTCATTGCCTGTGCCGATCACAATGGTTTGAGGAACCGAAGTGGAAGCTGACCGGGTTTCGAGTTGTGAGTGACGGCTGGCATTATTGGCATGCCCATCGCTGGTGCATTAAACGTCGCCAAATGCCACCTCCTCCAAATCACGATGCAGCTGCTAGACGCAGCAATTCGCGAAAGACGCAGTAAATTCTTATTTTCCTCTAGCTTACACCTATGATGTAGGTTGTGCCCATCGTTTTCAGAACCCATTCTTTCAACCTGGCTGAAAATCTTGGCCACAAAAATTTTGTTCGGTATTTCTTTAATTAAGCATACAAGTTAAAGTAATCAAAGCAGCGTCCACAACAATAGATACCAGAAGAAACCTTTTATAAGCATACTAATGTCAAAATTTATTCTATTTCAGAATTTACCACATTTTCCCGCATAATTTTTTTCTACATATGAACTCATAAGCTGAATCACAATCCTGGCAACATACGTGCATGGTTAGATTACGGTCTCTGAAGTTTGGTACAGCCTCATGGTAATTACTACTGCATCAATACGGAATTATTACGTCCTGATGCAGTTTCAGAGCCATGAGGCAAAATCATGTACTCATACAAACTTCTACTTTGCCTATTGCTACAAGGAAATGTCAGAGGGTTCAATCAAATTGTATAAAAGACAAACGATGATTTTTCTCTTTCACGTAACTTTATGTGAATGACAAACAGGGCTTTCAAGAGTAATTTACTCATCAATAAGCAATTCATTATGTTCGGCTACAAAAAAGTCACAGCTTTGATGCACAGGCAAGGCAATGAACGCGATAGCAACAAATTGGTAGTCATGCGCAGAATCGCAAGCATATCTAGATGTGCCCCGCATTTCACACGCACAAATAACGCACAAAACATACTCGCAGGTACAGATTAACGCGAAAAAGTGTCTTAGTTATTACTTCGTTGTGTCTGAAAAGCGAGCTCTTTTCCTAAATGGAGACTGTGCAATGATTGCAGTGATCTTTGTGCGCTCGGTAACTACAACGAATCGTTCCGGCGAAACCCAAAGGCTAGCCAAGATATAGGATCCTCCCCACTGTAATACAAGAGAGCGCGTGATCGAGCGTCCACCACCTCCTCTACGCGGGTCAAAGTATGCGGGGGCGATGAGTGCGAGCCGACGCGTCGTGACTATGTGTGGACGCGCGCTCACTGCGCCATCTTGCTGGTAAGGCTGAAAACACAATATTCCCCACCTCCTTAAGATGCTTGGCACCAGCGGTAAGTGGTAGATATAAATAGCTTGTCGTTTGAACGTTGAAGGACGTCACACTTGCGTCTCAGTGGTTCCAAGTTCGATTCCACGCAACAGTCTTTTTCTTTATTTTTTTTTCTTTCTTGCATTTTCATATATATAGATGCATACACATATACGGTGAGTGACGGCGAGCCGACGCCAACGCCAAAATCCAGCCGAGAGTGTCCATATAATAGACCCCTTTCATAATTCGCAAGTGCGCTTCTCTGCACTACATGTTTGCCCTACTAATGGCGGCACCTGTCCTACTTCAAATGGAGACCATGTCCTAGTGAAACACGCTGGGGCTCGTCTATTGTGCGCAGCAATGTCGAGATAGGTAAGCCTTCATTTTCCAAGTCTTAGTGCAAGTAAACTGCGCTTGAACACTCGGTTTGCAGATAGTGACTAGCCGCCATTAGTAGGGCAAACTGCATAGCAGGAAAGCTAGCTTTACAATTATAAAAAGGGTCTATTGTGCAATAAGCAACCTAATAAAAACTGCACTTGTAGCATGAAAGCGATTTATTCTGTTTTTGTCGGCATTTGCCCACCCTTGCCAATTTCGGGTAGGATGCAGAGCACCAATCACTAAAGCACTTACCATTAATTTTATGCTAAAGACTTATGAAGATTTCTTTTTGGGGGGAAGGGGGAGTCAATTTTCTATGTTTTTTCTATATTTTATTATTTTTCAATATTGTATTTTTTTTAGTTACCTCAAATGGTTGCAAGTTTACAGTACATTGTGTTGGTTTCTTAAACAAGCACCAAGTTTGAAGCTATTGCTTTAAATAGGAAAGAAGCTCCGATGCCCCCGTATAGCTCACTAGAGAGCGCCTTAGTATGCTTTTAAAATAATTAGTGGTTAACTGTGGCTTGTAATTAAGATGAACTTTAGAGTTACTAGGTAATGTTCCTTATTGAATTTCACTGAGACAAACTACTTATGGTATACATAACTCTGTGTAACAATAAAAATGGCTTTGCGGACACCTGATGAATGCATACAATTCTTTACTCAAAAACTTCCAATACAAGCACCGTCAGAGAGTCTCCACAATGTCGCTAACATTTCAAAGAAGGCAGAGCTGTAGTTCAATTTATGAAAAATTGCAAATTTTAGTGAATTTCTCACTAAGCAGCAAGCTGATCATCTGCTAATAAAAACTGAGCACTTGCCTTGTTGGCGAGAATGACACAAAGGTCGGTGACAACCAGCTGATTGCATGGGGCATTTTCAGAGGCCCTGCGAAAAGTTAGGAATGTTCGAGAGCCACTGTTGTTCACATTCGCTGGCCTCCCATAAGGTGTTTTCTTGAGAATCTCACTGTCAGCCATGACACGCTGCTTGTTTTCGTACAGGACCCTGCTCAGACACATAGAAACAGGAAAACAATGAGGTCATGGGTTTGATTCCTTCAAATGATCACACTCCAATATAATGAAGAATGTACAAATGCAGTTGATTTTCTATAGTACATTAAAGCGCCAGCCATACATGGCCGCTATAAGCAAATATAACTGCCCAAGGTTGAGCAACTACCCAAGGTTATCCCTTAAGGAAGTAGAGATCATCTACATTAATCTGAAGCCACCCACAAGGGCATGTGAAAACAGGATGAGAGTGGTTCGGAATATCTGGCAAAGTCTTGTTCTGCCCAGGGAGCTCAAATAAACTGATGATGACAATTTGTGATCAAGCCTGTACATGGTTTCTTGATTAGAGGAAGTACCTAGTAATTTTAGTGAAGTGTGCAGAAGAAACTTTCATCGGTAGTTGTCTGCATTGCAGCTTGATAAGGGCTAGCAGGTACTAGATTAGGGCAAAGGATGAAATAGCACAATTTGAACAAAGATAACAAAGGAACAAAGACCTTGCACTTGTCCTGTGGTCTTCGTTTCTATGTTTTCCTTGTTCAAATTACACAGTTTCACCCTCTTCTCTAGTTATCTGCATTAGGTGCTTTTTGGGTGAATGCCAACATTAAAATGCTCAAGTTATTTGAAATACTAATCAGTTCTTTCAAACCTTCCCACCATATATAAACCAGTAAATGAGAAAGGAGAAGCTAACCACTTACCCAATGTCCACAAGCGGAGGTTTGTCCCTTCCTCGGCGGTAGCAGAGGTATATGCTGGGACTCCTAAGGCTACCATGGTTTAGGTCGGCCGGGAATCCCATCGGAGTCTGTTCGATGCATTCGAATCCGGGCGGCGGTGTCTCGCCCTCGGTGCGCACAATCACGGCAATGTCCGTCACGGGCATAGACCCGTAGCTTGCCCCAGATGACTGCATCGCTACGCAGTCCTCTTCGAGGGGCCGTGGGTTGGCAGGAAGCCCGGCCACCACAAAGTAGTCTGCCACACGCTTCTCCTCCATGGCGCCTTGCAACCTCGTCTCTTATATACTATCACTTACGTGGCTGGCAGCGAGCTGCGCAAGGTCTTGCTTCTTCTTTCAGGCAATGATGTCATTTTCAGAGGTCGAAAAATTTGATTTCAATTACTTGCAAGTGGCTCCACTTCAGTTTTACTGCAAACCATCAAGAAACAGCACAGCTAAGCATTTCCCTCAGCAACAGATTTTTTATTATAATTGCCTTCCCACAATTTAGGCATTTGTGAGCACAGAATAAAAAATGTGACGCTTCCAGGGCTATTGCTAAACTTTCTTTTCATTATTTGTTAACAAGCAAGCAGTGAATAAAGGGAAAGCATGGTAACATTCAAATGCACCCTGTTTGCATGTATTTATGTAAAAAGAAATAATTACAGGAGCCCATGTGAGTAAAGGCACAAAGTAGGTAACTTTTTACAAGAAAACTAGACTCTGCTTTCAAAATTTTCTTTCTATGATGACATATCTCGTATAACTACGACATTTTATTCCATCTCCCTAAGGGCACCTACAGCTCTACACAATGATTGATGATTGATATGTGAGGTTTAACGTCCCAAAACCACCATATGATTATGACAGACGCCGTAGTGGAGGGCTCCAGAAAACCTGGGGTTCTTTAACGTGCACCCAAATCTGAGCACACGGGCCTACAACAATTCCGCCTCCATCAAAAATGCAGCCGCGGCAGCCGGGATTCGAACCCGCGACCTGCAGGTCAGCTGCCGAGTACCTTAGCCACTAGACCACCGTGGCGGGGCGACACTACACAATGTATGGCTGCAGTCTACTCATGTCTCCTTTCACAGTAGCCTAAACAGCCTTCTTAAACCACTGCCATGGATGAATATAAGAAAGGCTGTCTGTTTTGAAAAACCAGACATGGGCTTGAATATAAATGTAAAAGAACGAAGAATTCCTTATTTTGTGCATTGGCTATAACCAATCATCTCCAAATTGCAGTTCTGGTTACCAATGAGTGTTGGGCATTGTTAAATAGCAGTAATAAAGTGTGAAGAAATATAAATATGTAGAATGAATTAAGTACACAGACACAAGTAGCAGGATGAGAACACTAAATTATGCATTAAGCCTCGTGAATGCTACATTTTGCACTATTTGTAAAATGGAAATAGTGTGATGTAAGAGAGATGATGGAGTGGGAAACCAAACTCAGAGGGCGACATGAGAATATGGTCTAGGAACAGGAATATATATAACACAATTATTTCAGGCATAACTTTGGTTATGGGTGTGGCATGAAAGAAAGATAAAGAGGAATTGTCACACTACACAAATGAAGCCAAGAAAAATTGGTATTGGCCCAGATTTTCATTGCCACATCATAAGTATGCAGTGCTGGCAAAATTCCAGCATCGCAGTCGTACAAACATACTGTTGCATGTCTGACATCTGCTGTTGGTTCGATAATGCTAGGAAATAAGGCTTCACAGAGCATACATTTGATAGGAATGGCTGCATAATGCAGTGTTATTTCCTAGCTTATTTCTTCCTCTATGCCTTCTACCAGGTACCAGCATAAACAACACCTGACATGGTCGCATACTTAATCATATGACTACGCATATGAAAGTATCAATTTGGAATGAACTAACAGGAGCAGTTGGGCGAGTTGACGCAAATTTTTTATTTGAAGAAAGAACACAAAAAAACAACAACAAATAAACGAAGAGACAGGAGGATGGGCTACTGGAAAATGAAGTTATTTGGAAAGCGTAGAAAGATACAAAGTGCAAAAACAAAAAATTAAAGAATCAAGCAACCGCAGAATAAATATGAATATGAAAAGCCTGCAAAAGTGGGTTTTTTGTGCATCAGCTATCCTCTGGTGGCACAAAGTCTAGGTGCGAGGTGTATACATTAAAGGGACAGACAACTGATTTTTTTCCGACCCAGTTTTTTTTCTGGCGCGTCAGAAATCTTACTCTTTGTAGTGTTCATAGCTGCAGTCATTATTCCTAAAAGAATGTAACTATTTTGTAAGCAGTATTTTTCTATCTGAAAGGCTCTGAGCACGAATGTCCCTTTTTGCCCAGCAACGCTGAGGATTGATAGCGATGCCGGTAGCCCTTCTAGCGACTTGTGCATGCTGTCATTCTGCTTTCGCAGGAGTTCCTTTAATTACGCTTAACCACATTTATTCTGAGCTTTAAAACTATTTTTAAAAATAACGAGCCACCATTAAAATGAGCCGATGTGACTTTATACAGCTTTCCTGCATTTGTACACCGTTGCGTGCACCTGTGCCCAAGGTTGATTCGCCTGTGTCGTAAATGGCTTGTCCTGTCGTCATTACTCTCTCGACACACGAGCAAATCCAAGTCACCAAGAACGTCACTGCACATTTTCCTGGCCTTTCCGAGTAGCAGTGCACGTCATTTTTGAGACAAAGTGTTGGTAAAGAAAAAATTGCTCCAAAATCTAGGCAACCCGGAAGCAAGCATGAAAGTTGCTCAAGACTTGATGATGAGCATGGGATCATTGCGTCATGCAAAGGCAGCGCCCTTTTAATGCATAATACTAATGCAGGCCTATATTTACATTTTTATTAAGTAATATCTAATACTCTACTATAAATAATCTAATAATCTAATAATAATAATCTAATGATCTAATACTATAAAAAATCTAACAATATTTCAATACAAACAAAAAATTTTCGACCGCATATGCTAACCTACGATCACATGTCAGGATGCATTGAATAATTGAAGTTCCTGCAACCAGGTGGTGCCACAAGCCATTTTTTTTGCAATCTTCAATGAATAAAAATATAACTCAACTTCTCAAGAGGGAAAAAAAAAAGGTTGGTTTGAGTCGCTATGAGGGACAATCTTTCTATCCATGCAGTCATCTCATTTGATTTTCTGGGCAGTTATCGGTCCCTTAAATCTTTCTTTCTTAATCATTTCAGAGTTGGATCTTTTTTGTGAAATGCATTTAAAAAAGCATTCTTTATTGCTGACCTAAATTATTCAGACAAGTCTATTTTAGAGAGAAATTGTCTAAGAATTGTTTGAGTGACAGTAAAATCACAAAAATGTTTGTGTTGTTACAGGGACATTTTTTTTTTTTATGAGCAACCGCAAGATGAAGTCTAAAGAAACCTATATGACTGTTAAAAAATTATCTGTTGCAATAACTGTCTGTGTAGATCATAGACATACAAAAATAAGTGAACGAAGTAGCGGTAAGTGGATACAAGGAGCGAGAAAAGCCACTTTTTACACAGTGAGTATTGTCTACCGGCACATGCTTATAAGGTGTTGCTCGCTCATTAACATCTGACTGTTATAGGAACACTACAAGACTTTTTGAGCGTGGTCAGAAAACGCTGCCCATCAGCACTAGAGGCTCCCGAGAACATGCGAGCTAAATATTATAGCACAGCACGCGACCTAGAATTCACAATAAATTATCAAAGTCAGCTAAAAATTGCTTTCTCTTCCCTTGACAAATGACGGAAGACGTTCGAAAATCACACGTGGATTACCCATCTATCAGCCTTCAGCTGATTTTAACATGGCATGCTCGGTCGTTACAGGAATCGCCGCGGGAGGATGCGGATTGTCCACGCGGACGATCACCCTCATAAAGTTGCGTATTTGAAAAAAAAAAAAAGAGAAAAAAAAGTGCCCAAGGTTGCGAAGTGCTCATGTCGTATTTTGTTTGCCCGTGCCAATCCCTCCTGCTTAGCTTCCAGCGCTTTCGTCGGAATGAGAGAAGAGAGAATGTGATTACAGCTTGCAACATGTCTTCGTAACTCCACTCATACTGAACTGATTCTTAAAATTTTTGCGGCGTTGAATTCATCAGGCAATGAACTCTTTTATTGAATCCATTCCACGGTTACTAGAAAAAGTGTTTCAGGGCCCCTTTAACTAGTAAGTAACACTTCTTATGACGGGCTAACGTTTACTGAATCAGGTACTAGTAAGCCAGTCGAGCAAGGATAATCGCTGCTACACTTACTTTTGCAGTCGATAAACCGGCCCGTACTTCCATAGCACAAGCACAATGTGAGCATACTTAAGAAAATTGTGTAATTGTGAGCACGTCCAAAAAGCAAAAACAAGTCTAAAACATATAAAAATGATTCATCTTATCGCCAACAAAAGAAAAGCGGTTCTTGCACGAGTCCCTCAAACAGGAAATCCAACCACAGCAACATTGTTCGTGTCCGTCAGCGCCAGCAAGGAAATGGGCGTTATTGCGTACCAGGGAGCAATAAATGAGATAATGACAAACCCACCCCCTTTTTCAGAAGATTCTAAACCAGAAAGCCGTCAGTTTTGCGGGAAAAATAAGGCAAAACCGGCCGAAGCACGAAACTGAAACTAGATGCAGCAAAGTTTAAAAAAAAAAAAACAGAGGAACACGAGTTCTAGAAAAAAATTCCATGCGTTCCCGAAATGAAGGCAGGCAGCCAAGCATAAAAAATGATCGAAAAGGGTGCCCATTTTAAACATACAGGCAATGATATACATGTAGATCTCTGACAACCTTGTGGCTGTTTGGGATGACATACATGTACATATTTGACCCTCAAAAGATTCATCTGATGACCTATATGTTCTTGACCTTTTTTTTTTTTGTTATATGCACACTCATTCCTTGGTTTTTTTTTAACCTTGTTATTTTTTTATTGCATGTGTACGTTCTTTTATACTTTCAGTTAAACTTGAGATGCTAGTAGCATGTTGTCCTGTCCACTTAATATCTTTTTGTTGTGGTTTTGTACCACTTTCCTCAAATATGTACTCTAAGTGACCTGCTTCGTGTACACTGCAGCACGCCATTGTGAAAAAGTGGTGAATAAAATATAATAGTTTAGTAAAAACACTAGTAAGAAGACATGACTCCTCAATAGAGACACATCGCTAGTCACACATTAAAGACAAAATTACCGTGAGGTGAAGATTATTAAACTCAAACTATTAAGCTCCAAAAATCCTCATTAGACAATCTTTAAACATTTACTGTCCTGTTCTGAAATATGAATGCTCCCAAAAGACTGCATGCTCAAGCTGCTTAGGCAGCCAGTTGTTGCAAACAGAAAGAGGACAACGCTTCCTACAAACACTTCTGATTGTTTATCATTTGAAGTGTTCCATCACGTAGCTTATCGCTTTATACCATGGCAGTTAAAGCTGTTTTTTCCAAGTATGCACAGGACAGACAATTTTATCAACACTGGTATGTTACGACTCTCCGACAAACCAGATAAAGGTTTTTTCAAGATCGTGGATAGTCTTGAAACAGCTACATTCAAACATAAGTTAAAAAGTACCGAGTTTTCACTCACACATTGGCTATTTGATGCTTTCAAGTCCCTTCTTAAGTAAAGCTAGTCACTACAACCCCAAGAGAGTCCTTTATACAGAGAAATATTCCCAACTTGGCATGCTCAAATCAGTTGGCACAGTAAATAATGTAGGACTCTTGTTCAGATGTGTAATTATGTACAAAAAATACTTCATATAACACATCAATACACTTACACACTGTGCATACTTCACACGGAACCAAAATTTGCTAGCATGTTGTCGAAAAGTATATGTGCTCTCTCAGAACCAATGATACCACGCAGAATTGTTTTACTAATGTAGCATTACATAAATTTAACTGATCGATTACATCTTCAATATTTTATCTGCACTTTTGGATAAAGGCTGTGGTTAATTAAAAACAAAAACTTATTTCTTAGATAAGCAGTCAACAACTCCTTTCTAAATATTTCCAAAACAAGCCACAGCAACAATGTTGTGGTTTCGCAATGACTCCTCACATTCAGCAGCAATTTTTGTAACGGTCATTTTCATGCAATCAAATGTCTATGCAAGTTGCTAGACAGAGTTTCTCTTAGATGTACAAATGTAATGTTACCTCTTTTTATTACCAACAGAAAATTATTCATCTTCTAAGATATGCTATGTACCTTTGACAACATGGAGAGCTTTTGGTAAAGTTTTTAAGTGCACAATTCCCTCCCAAATTCAATTTTTACATCCTTTCTGGCATAATAAAGCTCTTTTCCCAGTACTGACTAATAAGTGCAGTATAACAATTTAATCAGCCTAATAAATTTTTGCTGGTGTCCACAGCAACAATATACTATTGTATTCATCTTCACTACATAAAAGTTATTATTTCTGTTGTTTATTAATGCACCGTACAATGGTGTCCAGTGCAACCAATGAATAAATAGCTCAACTTACACTTTCAGTAGCAAAGTCTTGCAAAAAAAATAACAAAAAAGAAACTGCATGGGTTGCTCGATTTAAGGCCTAGTTGCGTACAAACGTAGAGACCTTTTCCCTGCTCTTTCTGGTGTTCATATTTATTTCCTCATAAGATAGGAAAGGCGTCACTGTTTCTAGTTCAGGTTCTTTACGCATATCAGTACAGTTTCAAACCTCAATTAACGGTAACTGCCCTATAAAATGACATCCAGTTCAAAAAATAACTGGCAAAATCAGAGACTGTGGTTCACTATATTGACTTCAAAAGTTTTAAAATAAAAATAACAAGAAACACTAAACAAATGTGAACGTAGTCCAGCTGTTTCAGTCAGTCATCTGTCAGGATAGTGTGAGCAAAAAAGCAAGGTCCTATTTTAGAGTCTATTTTTTGTGCATGTTCCTTTTTGGAGCCATTCACACACAATCGAACTCAATGCTTAACATTTCAACAGTGGGGCACAAACCGAAGGTCTAAGCAACCACACTGGCCACACCCACCTATCATCTCAACACATGATCTCTAGAATTAGTATTCATTATTAATCTGCTAATTAACTTTTTTTTCAGACAGTTCTATATGGTAACATCACAAGTAGTTACATGCACCAAGTGATGGTGCTTTAGAACAGAAATGCAGGCAGAATGTCCTCAACTGCTCAATGTTTCTCAACTGCTCAATGTTTCAAGTCACAAAACATTTATCAGCCTCATGAACCTCAATTCACTGGCAATATTTCGCAACACCAGTTAATGGGTGTACTCGTACACACCTCATGAATACTTACACCAGAATAACAAATATGCGTAGATAGTTTAGTTATAGTATAGAAATACCAATACCGCCAGTGAACTCCACAGTTTTATTAGCATAGTCTCTTATAGAATCATGACAGCCTTCATGAATCCTCTAGAAATGTTTTGTTGAACAGCTCGCATTTTAACATTTAATTCACATTTACGACCACGTGGCAGTAAATAACTAGGAATATGTGCTATGCTCACATATGAAGCGTTCCTCTGTCTTCTTTCGCATTAGAAACACCCATCAGGCCGGGTTTCTGTTGCAGAGGCATCTTGTTCATTCAGGGAACCTCCATGCTGACTTTTCGGCGGCGATCCTGCACAGGTTCCAAACGCAGGCTTCAAGTGCTGAACCGGTTCGGCGCACTTGGTCGAGTTTAGTTGCCAATCGTATCCAGCAGAGATACGTGGATGTGCTCGTTCAAAACATGATCAATACCCTACCTTTATCTCTAAAGAATGCCCACAATATCTGCGCGCGCAGCGACAACAGGCGTGTTCCGTTCGAACGTCAAACGCTACGGTGATGCAAGAGATGGGCGCGTACACAACGCAAATCCCGACGGTACGCAAAGCACGAAAGAGACTCACGTTTACCGCGACACGCGGTAGGCAGCAAAAGCTAAACCACACCACTCTGGTGTTTTAGAAATTTCATTTAATAGCCACTCAAACGTAATTGAATTACAAACTAAAGGGATGTGCACTATATTTAAGCGAATAAATACACAAACAGTTCATTAAAAGCTCACAAGTGAGCATCAGACGTGTTGTACTTTCGTTGCACTGATGGACGAAAGCCAGGCCCTCTCAAATCGTTTACCCGCACCTGCATACGTACATACGAAGGCTTTTGAAGAGAAGGAAACGCACTCAATCAGGAAGATCAAGATATAGGAGTACGACACATGCCGCCCCTTGTATGACATCGCTGTTGACAAAATATTGTGGCCGTGCAGTGACCCTTTGACTCGGACTGGCAACCAAGTGATATTGGGTGGACTTGTCATCTACCCACTTTAAGGCTCGAATTAAGGTCTCTACGTAAAGGCAATTTACGCGAATGTCATCTTCGCGTTTGTACAGACGCCGCAAATAAGCCTCGCATTTCTCGCTTACTTGTGTTTGCATGCTTATCCGCATCTTACGGGCACGACGCAAGAGCACATCTAGGATGCCAGAAAAGAAGGTTGTACCTCGTAAGGTCACAGAAGACAGTTCGGACGTTAATTGTGCGGGGATTTTACTCCGATTTTTTTTATACACACGGGATCTCACAAGTACCACCGCACAGGGCATGAGTCATTCAAAATTCACCTTGCGCACACATGCCTGCCATGTTTGTTGAGTTCCGCTGCGTCTTCAAAGGTTTCCGGTTTTCGGCTTCGGCTACTAATCGCACGTAGCCCACTGGCGCTGCTACACCACAGCCGCCGTCGCTTTTCGGCTGCGCCATGTGTCATTTGCGCGCGTTTGAAGCAAAGGTCGTGTTCATAGCCCGGCAAGCTGCAATAATCTAGTTATAAACTGTGACGCTGCAGCATTTTGCTCGAGTTGCTCTACCCACACGTCGTGCGCGTTGCCGACCACTTCACCGTAGTGCCTTACTTTGCCGTGTCTGTACGAAGTGTGCATAATCAAAGGGCAAAAATGGCCCAGACCGAGTGCGTCGACCATTTCTTGGAGAAAATAAGCAACCTGGAACGTCAACTGTCCATCAAAGAGCACATAACCAAGCTGGAAAACCACATGTCGCTGGTCAAAGACTTGCACGACACTGCTACGCGGTTCGAAACTGATGTGCGCTGGGTGCTGGGTCAGCTTGTCATTATGCTCACTGATGTAAAAATAAGTGCTGGACAGGAGGTCGGGAAGGACGCGGTGTTGCTCGACCTAGAATTGGTGAGCAATAGCAGTACCGGCAACCGCTGCTGTCCGTGCCAGTGCCATTCAAAGAACGAACGGATACCGTCAAATAGTGGTGACGGCACACAAGACTGGAAACCACCGGAGGGATCAAATGTGAGGGCCATTAACCAGCTAACTTGACTGGACTGCTGGAAAAGTTCAATTTCGCTGTGTTACATAATACGAGTACCATCATACGTTGTTGAATGAATAATGCGCCTGGCTGTCATAATGCTACAGCTCTGCATTAGTTGTACCATTTTCCAGCTTCAATTTTGCAGCCACACGGATTGATGTTCTTGCACAATGAACTGGTATTTTCAACTATTTTGTTAGATAACTAATATAAAGTTTTGCTTGGGTGCGGCTTAGTAGAACTGTGTTTCGCATTGGAAAAACATCAAGTGTGAATTGTGAAAGATTACAACGTGAATCTCATAAACACAGACTAGTGGTGCTCTTCACATAACTGTGATACATGGTGGCGTGAGATGTTTACTCAGTGGTGAACTCGTGTACAACTACTTGGACGTTCTACATTTATGCTAATTCCACCTGATAACTTGTTAAACATTGCGTCACCCCACAGTTATTTCATGTACCGACCTCTAGCTCTCTCTAGATTTCTCACTATCTTGGCTTGCTCATTTTCAGTCCTGCAGTTAGCTGTATAAAGCTTGTGTAGCAGTGATAGAGAAAAACAAAAGGCAGGCAGTTAAATCCGGTTCATGTCTGATTTGTTACCCTACACAGGTGGAGGAGGGCTAAGGTTTAAAGAGGGGGAAAGAACATTCAAGGTAACATTTTTTTCAGAGAGCACTTTGACGCAGTAGTAGTTCAGTCGATAAAAGATTTTTTTTAGACGCAAAAAGCCATAGCGCAAAAGAGACAAGGACTACACAAGAGCACAGAATTGAGGCTAACTTCCACTGTCATGTGTTCTGGTGTTATTCTCGTTCCTTTTTACAGTATGGTTTCTTTTTCTAAGTCGTGAATCAACTTGCCCAACAAAACATTTTATAGAGGATGGTTGTCAAATTTGTGTTAAATTTGACATGGGGGCTGCACCACACGGGGAAGTAACTGCTGTTGCTGGTCATCCCGTGTACAAACCATCAACTTGAATGCTATGGAAGCAGCACTTCTGAATTTAGAGCAGGCAATTGCATGAAATCATCAGGATTCTTAGCAGTTATTTCCACGCATGCACAAAACAGTCGGCAGATTATTCTTCAGAAAAGCAAAATGTGCATGTTACCGAAGGATTTGTTGCTGAGCTAGCTTGTGTCATATCACATTCATAATGTAGCACAAAAAACGACAGGACGGACACAAGGAACGACACATTATAGTGCTTGTGGTGTGTCGTTCTTTGTGTCTGTCTTGTCGTTTTTTGCCCTACAGTATGGATGTGGTGCACGTTACGGAGTGGTGCTGCTGATTCCACATTAGGCATGTGCCACCCTTCTGTTACACAGGTAACAGTTGCAGACTTGGTGAAGGCAGCAGCGCAGGAAGCAGTTGACTCTACAGACTATGTTTTCAATGAAGAGTATCAGATGTACTACAGTGTCTCAACGGGTTGCTACTATGATCCAGTAAGTATTCTGATACCTACTTCATAATGCCTTGCCTGTACACTACTTATTTGCCTGCATCTCAAGATGTCAAATTTTCGTATCTGCTTGAAAAGCAAATGCAGGAGCACAATAGAGTCTTGGACATGTGCTTGCCTCTTATAGTATTATGTGTTTTGCCCGTGCCTTCTCAAACTTCCCAGTGAATTTGGCATGTAACTATGTTTTCCTTTCTTTTTCTCCGCAGTCAACGCAGCTTCTTTATGAGCCAAATTCAGGAACATACTACCGCTATAATTCAGACACGGGAAGCTATGAAGTGCATTCTCAAGTACAGCCCCGCAAGGCACCCAAAGTTAAGAAACCAAAGCGCAAGGTTGGTTGGTTTTGCTTTGTTCATACATTTCTTAAGTTCAAAGACCAAAGACACTATGCTCACCAACAATGATGCCCGTTTGATTTTTTTTTTTTTCCAACCATCACAGAGAATCTAGGTGCTCAATTTGGGCTAAATTTTTCAGTCAGTGACAGTTATTAGTTTGGTAAATTTGCTTGTACTAGTAAATTGATACTACACGGATTCACAGGAACAGATGAGAGCAGCATGTAAAGTACATCTGAATACACATATGGAAACACACCAGCAGCTGACACTTCCAGCTCTCTATATCCTTATATAACAGCTCATAGAATCATGTGACAGTTACTGCCAAGTTCATTTAACATATTTTCTTTTTACTTTTGTGACAACCAAAAGTAAATGTAACACATCGAGTCATTGTTTTATGATTATTACCAGTGCCCACAGAATCCTCATTTGTTATGGCTTTTTCTTTGACATCTTGCATGTGAAGTTGATCAAAATTGACATTCATGCATTTGTGGCATGAAGCTACAGGGGAGCCCACGCACAGGTTTCCCAGAAACAGAGCTTCTCAACGTAAAAAAAAATCTATTTTGGTTCAGCGACCCCAACTGAGATGATCTACAGTCTACCCTGGCTGGTCGAGGTAAACAGCGCAAAAAACGAAGACAGAGTAAAGGAATCGTTACCAACTTCCCCAGTACCAGTTGTCCTGACTTGCGTGAATTTGTGTGTCAGGTCAGACTAGCACTATAGGCTTTACACTCCCAGGTTGACTTTTCTCATATACTGGTAGCATGACGAAGCGTTGGAATGTTTACCAGTATAAACTACCATTATTTAATCATCGGTATACATTATTAATGCCTGCACACTTATGGTAAAAAATGTGTTGCCACACTTGAACATCATGCACCGGTTTTACAGCCTTCATTTTAGAAATATTTTCAAAATTTTGTGTGGACTAATCAGATAGCGAAGAGAACCTGCTGCTTTTACCGTGTTGTGTTAGCGCATTGACATGACCTTGCACGTGCAAGGTGCTGTGTTCCTAGTTTATTTGATATGCACAACCATAACACTGTGATGCTCCCATATGATATGCCTTTCAAGTGCGCCTTGCACATGATAATACACTCCAGCGACAAGACATCTGATTGGACAAAACACACATGACAATGAACTTAAGGCTTATTATTATTGTTATATATTATGTTATGTTAGTTTCACAACATACAGTGGCAAATAGTATACTTTCTGACTGTTAAACAACAACGAAATGAAGTGCGAAAAGAAACAGCTAGTAAACAGTTAGTGGGTGTTGTAGGCCACTGCAGAATAACTACTGCTTCCAACAGCGCAAGAAGCTCGAGCTGAGAGACGAGTCAGCCGCGGAGCTGTCTATAGAAGAAGGGGAGGTGGAAGACAGCTGCAGCGATGAGACTGCCAGTACAACCGACGAGAGCAGCAGTGCGGGCGAGGAAGACCCTGCCAGCCAGCACCCTCCGTGCATTCGCCTTGTACTAAAGGAGCCCCAGGACTTGGTGCAGCATAGGCTGTACCTGGTGACACTTCCAGGTGCCACCTTGGGAACTCACACTGACCATGCACTCTGTCTTCCCAATGTGGACAGCGTAGATGAGGCACGGATACCTATTGTTTAAAGTAACCTCAGAATTAATTTTCTTTTGTATGGCCACACCAGTCCTATGCATTAAGTTTCATAATGGTGGCACTGACAGTGAAAGCACCATTTTAGTACTTTGCAATAGAAAAACCTCATTTGACTTGCATACTGCTTATCAATAGAGTACCTAGTAAAAATTTTTCATGTCTAATCAGGTCAGGTCCTAGGCTTTAATAAGCTTGACCTGGCCTCTCATATCCTGGCTATCCAGAGGGCCCGTACGAGAACTCTGACTGTCCCCGAGTGGGCCAAGCCAGGTGACGTTGAGTTAACTCACGTCTATTGTGGACCTAATAAAGTTATTTCACTCACTTATAATCAGGTGAATAAAAATAGTATGGTATTGAAGAGAAGATTACTTTATCCTATTTGAGAAGAGTGAATAGTTCTTCCAAGTATTAAGGTAGCTGTATTATGAACTCCTTTTTCTTATTTATTCTTTGCTGCACTTCTTTTGCTTTATAAAATGGGAAAACAATTATATGCAGTGACATTTCGTGAAATTAAGGACCATAAAGTTAAAAGCCACGTCAGCATTATATCTTTTTGAATAGGCTTGTGTGCTTACATCTAACTTTGATGCAATTATGCGCAGCTTGCTAGGTAAGTAAGCTTGCAGGTTTGCAAAGGCTATCAGACACTTTTGCCACAAATGCTTCATTTCACCTGTTCATTTGCAACACAACAAATTGTCAGCTGGTGCCTTCATTTTATTTGGAAATGTGTTGCAAGATATCTACAGTACAGTTCAGTGGTCTAAAGCATCAATTTTGTATTTCAGAGCCATGCAGAGCTACGCTATTCCGAGG